TTAAAGCTCAAGGGTATGAAGTTCAAATTAATGGAAAATAGAATTAGCCGTGATGATGTATTTTTTTTTATACCGTTGGAGTGTTGGTGGCATACATTTGATCCCTTACTTTAGTTTCGTTGCATGTGCTTGTTGACACAATTTTTATGTTATAAACGGTGTTCGTCTTATTTTAGCTTCTTTTGGTCCATATTAGTTAGGTGTGTTTATAGCGATATACTTTCCGTAGAATCCCGCAAATTTTCTTATTGGTGTAATCGATAACCGAATCGATAAGCCCCAAAAATCGATAAATCAAAATCGAAAAAATCGAAACCTTATTGAAACGATAACGATAAGCATATGTACAAATCGATAATCGATAAGTAATTATCGATAAGGGTCAAAATCAAATCGATAAATCGAATACACACCCCTGTTTTTATCCATATTTGACCCGTTTTTAAAAAGTTCATTATCCAACACATTTTTAGTGGACGCCACACCAGCTTGTGAGCGTTACTATGTTAAAACACAAAATCAGAAAAAACAAAACTGTTAGAAGAATTAAAGAAATCTGGAAAAATAGTAGAGAATCAGAAATATTCCGAGTCCACAAGTTTCTTGTGTGTCCTTAAGGAATTTTAACCCCCTCACAAGTTGCCAAGGTAATGGATTAAATCCTCCCAGGATAAAACGGAATAAACCTTCCTGCAACAATGGCAATCCTGCAGGATCCCAACGAACTCAAAGAACGGAGCAAAATCACACTTACGGATTGGAGAGAGATTGACTGCGAATTAGGATGCAGTATATTCAAAAAGAAAGAAGTTCTGGAGTATTTTTTCGTGTGTAGAAAATGGAGTCTTGCCTCAGAATTTATAGGCAATTATCAGAAGAGGTGTCTGGAAAAGGTGCCTTTTCAGAAGAATACGCTGCCGGTTCTACCGCGTTTACGGCAGAACCGCGGTCAGAGAGGCTCTCTGAATCTTCCTGCCGCGGTTCTACCGCGGTTACGGCAGAACCGCGGCTAGAGAGTCCCTCTGAATCTTCAGCAGGGTTCTGGCGTATTTTCAGCAGTGATTTGGCATTTAATTAATTAAATAAATTTTGTCCAAAAATAATCTTATCGATCGATCATTTGACAAATCCGAATCCGAATCCGAATCCGAAGTCGAGCCGAGCGAGCGACGACGACGGCGCGAGGGTTCATTCTCTTCAACTCCTTTTAAGAGCTTTAAGAAGTGATTCTATATATAAGCACACAAATGTGATTGTCCCTCACCAATGAGGGACAAAGGGCAAGACAAAAGTTCACTTCTTCAAATTTTCATTTTTCCCTCCATTTTATTTCCCTCCATTTCCAATTCACACTTCTTCTACTTTAAAGCCCAATGGCTTAAAGTCCCTCCATTTTCAATTCACACTTCGTGACTTTCTATTCATTTGTCGGAAATTAAAGTCTAAGTAACTTTATACTCGTTTTGGAGATTAAAATCTTTGTGATTTTCTACTCCAATTTATTATTCGGTTTGAAGATTAAAAACTTCACCGTTTATTAAATTTGATTGTGTCACATATTATTCGGTTTGAAGATTAAAAATTTCACCGTTTATTAGATATAGTTGTATCAGATGTTACTCGGTTTGAAGATTAAAAACTTCACCATTTATTTTTTTTACTCGGCAATAACTATTCTGCAATACTGGCAATCGAATACAGAATTGCAGCAAACTCAACAGACGGAGCAAATCACACTTGACACTTATATTTATTTGAAAATAATGCAACAATATAGGAAATAGGAGAGAAATTTTCAGATTTTTTTTTCATGTCTTAAAAATGAGGCCAAGCCTCTAAATTTATAGACAAAGGAAGGGTGATATGGAGAGGTGCAATCCAAAAGGTGCCTCTTCCATTTCCCATTCATACCCTTTAAAGAAAAAAACGCAACAAATATGAGTGGTTAACTGTTTTCTTTTAACCATTTTGTCATCCCTACGCACGAATCATAAATGGTCAGTTTCCAACTCCTAATAAATTCAACACAATAGACACGATATCAGACCAGGAGGTCACGGGTTCGAAGCCGTGGAAATAGTCTCATGCAAAAATGCAAGGTAAGACTGCGTACGATAGGCCCTTATGGTCCGGCCCTTCTCCGAACCCTGTTTATAGTGGAAGCTTAGTGCAAGGGGCTGCCCTCTTTTTCAGACACGATATCGGACCTCACTCGTCTCCATGCTAGAGTAATAAATGAGTCAAGTTATAATGAATATCAGTAATATGCATCCGGCAATCTATGAAGACTTTACACTTTTAATTTATAAATCAGGATTCTATGAAATAGTATACCTAATTCCGTCACTGACGTGAAAAATAATAAATAAAAGGTTATATGCACGAGCAAACGATGAATACAAGACAGGACATGTACATATTCTTCTTGCACAGAAGATAATGTCATGTAATCAGGAGTGCTCAAGACAATTGTTTGACAGTGGTCGAAGGAAGGGGCAGGCCCCTCCCTATAAAACTGGAAACAAAGAGGCTTTTCGAGATTCTCGGACCCTAACCAGTAACCAGGCCCCCTTTTCTCCCTAGTAAACCACAATTGTTTA